ACCCTCCCCCTCCAGCCCCCGGCCCCCGGGCACCCGCATTTACATGACAAAGTGGGAGCCTGTGCAGCTTCACCATGGAGAGTCGAGGTATGCAGAAGCCCCCCTGTCTTCGGGCGGTTTGGGGCGCTTTTTAACGAGGCTCCTTCTACCGAAGGGGAGCCGGCACGTTTCCCCGCTGGCCCCTTTTCTGCTGCTGCCAGCTGCAGCCGGGGGCTGCGGGCACGAGCTGCCCGGGGATGCCACGTCGTGCTGCCCGGGCTTCCCTGGCACAGCGTCCTCCGAGCCAGGCAGAGGGCGGCTTTTGGGAGGATTTGCACCGAGGGAAATCGTGGGGGGACCCTGATCCCCCCGGAGCAGGGACGTGGCGCGGGAGGGGGTGAGCCCAGCCTGTGTGTTCACCAAAGGGCTTTGGGGTCTCCCCCACCTGGGCCAAAGCAGCCAAGGCCAGGCAAGAGCCCGTCTCGCACGCCGGAGGTGCCAGATGTCACCGCTCTTATAAATAGCCATGTCCCGGGTAGGCACCACTGCGCCAGGCCGTGTGCAGGCACTGGGAGATAATAGCTTTTTAAAAATCTTTGGATCTCAAAGTAATTTAGAAAGGAAAAGTCATTATCGCTCCCCGCTTTGCTGGGCGAGCTCCGGGTGGGTGGCGTGACCCCTGCGGTGAGCCTGGGGCTGGGCTGCCGGGGCGGCTGCTCCGGCTCGTCGCATTCGAGGACCGTGTGTCTGCGGTCGCCAAAATAAAACCCGCTGAGTCGGCCCAGGGGTGAATTTTCCCATCCTCGGTGCTGGTCTTGTGTCCTGCCCTGGTCTTTGCAGAGCATCTCCCCGCCGTCGCAGTGCTGCTCCCTCCAGCCAGGCTGCCCGGTTATGCTATCTGCGTTCGCAGTATCTTGTGGCTCGCATCAAACTCCTGAGCCAACTTTTGTGTTGCTGGAGGCTGAATCCTTCATCTGTGATTCATGATCTTAACTGCGAGGGTTCACGTTCATAAAGCATCTGGCGATCCTCCGGCGAGAGGGTTTGTACGGCAAAGCGTTATTTTCGGGCTGACCGGTGCAGCGCCGGGGCTGTGGGATGGGTGCGGGACCGTTTGGTCGCCCCTCTGCAGCACGGCTCCCATCGGCTCCAAACCTGCTTCAGCTCCTGCCTGGCACCGAAGTGCCACCGGGCGGCTGCGGAGCCGTGGCTGCTGCCTTGCGTCCCCTGCATCTGCGGGACGCCATGGGCACGCGGAGATGCTGTCCTGCTCATGCACGGCTGCTGGGATCGTCTCAGGGGTGAGAAGGTCCAGAAGAAGAGAAACTGCAGTTGCTGGCCTTGATGTGGTTGCAGGGAAGGCAGCAGAGAGCTGCTGTCCTCCGGCAGGTCTCGCAAGTGGGCTGAGTGGTTTCTTGCTCGAAAGGCAACGCAGGGACCGGAGGCTCCAGCAGCGCTGGCAAATACCTCTTTGATTGTGAACCATGATTTAAAAATGCATCAGCTTGCAGCCAAGGAGCTGGCAATTGCCAAGAAATGTTTGTCATGTGGAGACATGAATTATACCACGAGTAGCTCATCTGAAAATCAGTTTTCTAAAACAAGCTTCCCCTGGAGCGCAGCGCAGCTGCGAGCGCCTGCGGGGTCCGAGCCCCGCGTCGGCCTCGGAGATCCCCGTCTTGCTCGTCAGACTGCTCCGGGTCCCATGCTGCCTTGTCTGAGGAGGCGCTGGGGCTGGCTCAACCCCAGGCTTGGGGCTCCTGGCAGATTTTGGAGCTCCTGGGCTCCTGCCGCAGGGCAGAAGCAAGAGCAGAGGTTGGCTTTGCAGAAGTTAATGCCGCAGTTTGGTCCCTGGACACTCGCAAGGGTCGTCCCGTCCCCTTGGTGTCCTGCGGCACGGTGGCCTTCCATCAGCAGGAAGAGTCTTGCAGAGATCAGGTGCAAAACTGAACAGCAAATATGAAGTTTGCTGCTCTTCTATTTTTCTGCTTCTGATATTTTTAGCCTGGAATTGAAATTTGGATTTAAAAAGAAAGTGGATGGGAGCAAGGGGTGCTAAGAGCACCATGTGTTCAGGAGCCGAAATTGGAGCCGGGACGCTGTTTGGGGGCTGACTTGGACAGCTGGCCACCCAGATGGAGTGCTCCGAATATCCACACGCTGCGCCCCCCGCACCCGGCCCAGCTGGCCCAGACCTCGCGGGGTTTGAGAAACAGATAGAAGATACAAACTGGGATGGGTGGAGACGGGCAAAGTGGGAACGGGGCAGGAAGGGCAGATCTCACCTCGGAGAGCAGCGGTGTTGAATGCTGCTTTGGCAATGTTTTAGGATACCTGTGAGTCCAAGGGTGCTGTCAGTTCAGAAATGCAGTTCAGTCGTGTGGCCGTGCATTGGTACCCATCCCTCCATCTCCAAACTTCATTAGTGAGTCTGTATAATGGGCTTTGTGGAAAAACTGGTACTTCCCTCTTTACAGGTTTGGGGCCCACGCTGCTTGAATTGGGGATTTGGGATTGATTTTTTTTTTTTTGCTACCTCCCATAATTCATAGGAGGTTTTCATCAAGCTGTTTTTAATTTTCTCTGGTTTTTATCAGCAGCTCCCCTGGAGTTAGCCTTCCTCATCGATGTGACTTTTTTTTTTTTTTTTGCTGAACAGCAGTTGAGAATTACGTTGGGGAGGGGTTAAAGATAAAAGGAAAGTTCAGGTACTGGGACTTGAGTTATCCTGCGACCTGGAGTTTGAAACGCGATCGTTAATAACCAGTATAAAACCAAAGCAAGCTGTTATCCTGCAAAATCTAGCAGTTAAATAATTGTGTAGTGCAGATGCAATAACGTGTTTCCTGTTTCTTGTGGCATCCTCCCTCTGGCAGCGAGTCGGAAATTGCTGGAGGATGGAGGGGAAAATGCGTGTGTCTGCAGGTCCCCGCTGGCAGAGTCTCCGGGGAGTTGCATCCCTTGGAGAGGGGCAGACCTGCGGCTCCGTGCCGGTGGAGCCAGTGCTGCTCTCCCATCGGAGGCGGCAGATGCCGTCGCCTGCGCAAGCAGCCCCGTCTGCGCCACGCAAGCCGGCGGGGAGGGAGGCGGTGGGGCCGCTGCCGGCTCCTCGGCCCCTCGCTTCACCCCCGGCAGAAGTCCTGGGCATCTCGGCAGGGCCGTATTTCTCTCCCCGGAGCAGACGCGGTCCCTCGCCTCCTCCCGCCGGGCAGAGCCTCCCCATTGTGCCGGCGCTGGCTTGTAAATCAGCGGGGCAGGGGCTGGCCTGGCGGCGGGACAAAGGCTGCCTGTGCTGCCGGGGCATCCCGGCTGAGCTCCCCACGGCGGGACCACCCCAGCCCCGGCGCGGGGGCAGAGGGTGCCTGCAAACCCCTTCCCTGCTAAAGCCGACCCCGGGTGTTCCATGAGCTGAAGAGCGACGTATTTGGAGGCAAATGCTTGGAGGAGGGGGTAGAGTGTACCCACCAGCCACAACTGGCAGATGGAACTGGAGAGACCGCTCTGTTCGTGGCAAAGCCCCTTGGCGGTGTTAGACGGGTGCTTTCTTCTTTGGGGTTCGCAGCAGTGTCCCATTTCTCCTCACCCCGTGACCCCGTAAGTCCTGCGCCGCCTCCTGCTCGGCGTTGGGGAGCTGTCAGACCTGGGCTATTTTTGGAGCTGCCCTTACAACAAAGCGCTCTGCGTGCCGGGGCCCAGCGTGGGTTGGCTTTGATGTCGCCGTCGCTGCCGTGCAGCGGGGCAGGCAATGCTTGGCCTTCGCTGCGCTTGTTGGTTGGCAAACGCCGTCCTGCGGGGTGGGATGCTGGGGAGGCCCGGAGAGATGCCGCGGAGAGGGATTCTTCCCGCAGGAGCCGGGGAATGGTTGGGCAATAAAAACACACCACAGCCCTGGGAGGGCTGGCCGTGGTCTAAGTGTATCTTCACTAATTCAGTGTGCCAATGTCTCCCAGACCCTTCAGGTGAAGGTTGCTGCTGCTGCTGCAGACCCGTGGCAAGCTCTCAGTGCAGATATAAGGCTCTACTTGCTTTTTAAAGCCAGGGCTGGAGAGTTTCTTGCCGCTGTTCTGGTGGTTTGCATATCGTGACATTTCTTGTGCGAAACAGAAGTTGAAGTGCGGCTTGGAGTCGCTTTCAAAGCTCTTTTAATGTGGACATTAGGTACAACCTGTCCTTCGGTGTCAGGAAAAGCGAATGTGGCCTTCTGTCCCCGCATCTGGTCAGGGAATTGAGTTATGGGTATTGCGGTGTACGCCAGGACGTGGGTGCGCCCGTGGTCGGGACAGGCAATTGGGAGTCCCTTGTCCTTCCACGGTCTGCACTGCTGCCGTGCGTGGCCCCGCGTGAGTTCCTTTCCCTAAGGCAAAGCAGAGATTATTTATCTGCCGGTGGATGGTTTGACATCTGCACAGCGGAGCAGAGGGCTTGGCACTGCCCTTTGACAGCTCGGCTGGCGCCGGTGCTTGCTGGACGGTGCCCAGGGAAGCTCCTTCCACCTCCTGCTGTGCTGGTCCGAATTCTGTCACCGCTGCCGGGAGCGTGAGTGGGAGACCTCCCGGTTCGGGATGCGGTGATGGGGAGTGCTGTGATTCTGCGTTGTCTGTCTGTCTGGGCAGGGGGTTTCTCCCAGCCTTCCTGACCCGTTTTCTCTCCCCGCAGCTGCAGGTGCATACCTGCCACCATTGCAGCAGGTATTTCAAGCGCCGCGTCGGCCCGGGATAGGAACCGTTGGGAAGCCCATCAAGCTCTTGGCCAACTACTTTGAAGTGGACATTCCCAAGATTGATGTGTATCATTATGAAGTGGATATCAAGCCCGACAAATGTCCACGCAGAGTCAACAGGTAAGGCAAGTATTAGAGGTTTTGGCACTCGTTCCCCGCTTCCACTTTCCTTGTGGAGGCTCCATAAGTGCCTGTCTCCATCTTCGCCGGTGGAAGCCATCAGGGTGACATGTGGCAGGGGTCACAGTGCTGCCCAGCACCCACGGGTGGCTGGACTCCACGAGCCGCATTTGTGCAGCAGCACTGGTTCCTGCCCCTGACAGCCTCGGAGGTCCTGAACTCGGAGGTTCTTCAAAGCAGCTGTGCTATTTTGGCAACAATCCCATGTTTAAAAATAGCAGGCCCAGACCTCGGGCCATCACGTACTTTTCTTTTCTGTGTTTTTCTTTTTGGCATCCTACTCGCTACCCGTCCCCTCCTGCCCCGGCAGCCTGGGTAGCTCTGCGCCCCGAAGGCCGGTGAGCAGATGCTCCCGGCAGCCGTGGGCAGCGAGTCGCTCCCTCTCGCCCTCCCGGCACACGTGGTGGGTTTGCAGCCAGCTCCGGCGGGTGCGCGTTCCTGCATACCGCGTAAACTCGTTCTGCCGAAGCTGATGTACCGAGTTGCGGGGAAAGGCACGTGGCTGTTTGTCCGGGGGCCCTCCTGTCCCGGGGGGGCTCGGCTCTGCTCTCTGGTGCCCTGTGGCTCAGAAGTGCCCCGGGTAGGGAGGCTGGGGACCAGGCAGGTCGCAGAAGGTGTCAGGCTGTAAAGAAACCAGCAAAATGAACCTTGCCCTTCTCTCCCCCTGCCTGTCTTTCTTGCCCCGCTCGCCTGCGTAGGGAAGTCGTGGAGTACATGGTACAGCACTTCAAACCACAGATCTTCGGTGACCGAAAGCCAGTCTACGATGGGAAGAAGAACATCTACACTGTCACGGCCTTGCCCATTGGAAACGAGCGGGTAAGAGGGGGCGGCGAGCCCCGTGCAGGCAGCGCGACCTGCCTCCTGCCTGGGAAGGACCAGCTAAAAACGACCTCCTCTCCTCGCGCCCGCGGGGATGCCATGATCGCTTCCCTCCCTTCTGCACCCAGGTTGACTTTGAGGTGACGATCCCAGGGGAAGGCAAGGACAGGATATTTAAGGTCTCCATCAAATGGATGGCCATCGTGAGCTGGCGCATGCTGCACGAGGCCCTGGTCAGCGGGCAGATCCCCGTCCCCCTGGAGTCCGTCCAGGCGCTGGACGTCGCCATGAGGCACCTGGCTTCCATGAGGTACCTGTGCCAAGGGGCGGCCCGGCGGGTGGGCGCTGGGGGCAGCAGTGGCCGTGCCATGAGCACCGAACGTGCCGGGGAGGGGACCGGCTGCCCTTGGCAGGCTGTTGTGGCTGGGACTGGCCTTGACGGTCTTTGGGAGGAGGCGGCCGTGCCTGCCGTGCTGTTTGGTGCTGTCGCTCTAGATGCTCCTGCAATGGAAATAGACAGGGTGATGCAGCCGGCGGGGCGAGCGACGGCTCGGAGGGGCCGGGGGTGCTTCACGGTCGCTGCCGGTGGGGCTGGCGTGTGCTGTTTGACGCGGTTTGCCCTGGTTCGTAGGTACACTCCCGTCGGCCGCTCCTTCTTCTCCCCCCCCGAAGGCTACTACCACCCCCTGGGAGGCGGCAGGGAGGTCTGGTTCGGTTTCCACCAGTCAGTCAGGCCTGCCATGTGGAAGATGATGCTCAACATCGATGGTGACGTATTTTTTTATGCCGGCAAAACCACTTTGCTCTCCAGCATGCCCAGCACAGCACGGTCCCGCTCGCTCATGGCGAGGTCCCAGCACTGCTTCAGGCTGGGGGCTTTGTGCATGGGGTCTGGCCACCCAGCGCTGGTTGCAGTGGGGTGTGGGTCTGCAGCGGGGAACTGCAGCAGTGGGGCTGGGTGTGTTTGGGGAGGCTGGATCCAGCCGGCTCTTGGGCCAGGTCCGTCTGCTGGGAGAGAGCAGAGACACATCGTAATATCTGTCCCGCAGTGTCGGCCACTGCCTTCTACAAAGCCCAGCCCGTAATCGAGTTCATGTGCGAGGTGCTGGACATCCGGAACATCGACGAGCAGCCGAAGCCCCTGACAGACTCACAGAGAGTGCGTTTCACCAAGGAGATCAAAGGTAAAGCCCCCGGGGAGCGCTGGGGACCCGTCCTCAGCTGGGTGCTGCCCCAGACACCGGTGGTGGCTTGTCTGCTGCCCAGCTCCTGCAGTGAGGTGGGAGTACGGGGGGGGTGCATATTTAAAATGTCTCCTGGGGCACCGTTGCCTCCCTCGTGCACTTCACAGGGCATCTGCAAGCATACCTGCTCTGCAAATGGTTAATTATTTAAGGCGGGTGTTGGCGGTGTCCCGGGGAAGTTGGGCGAAGGGGAATCGCTCCCGCCTTTACCAGTGACTGCTGCGTCTCCCTGTCTTGCATCAGGTCTGAAAGTCGAGGTTACCCACTGCGGGCAGATGAAGAGGAAATACCGCGTGTGTAACGTTACCAGACGGCCGGCCAGCCACCAGACGTAAGGCGGGGGGAAGATGCCCTTGGAAAAATCTGAGCTGTTCTTTTCAGCAGCTGCTGGTGTCGTTAGGGAGAGCTGGATGGGAAACTCCAGCCTGCAATGGCAAAAGGAGATGTGTTCGGTGCTCTGCAGCAGTTTTGGGCGCAGCAGCTCGCGCAGCTCCGTGTCATGCGCAGTGAAGGCGAGCGGGGTGCAGGGGAGGGTGGGAGTGCAGAGGATGCTTTGTCTGGCAGGCGGCGTGCTGCAGCGGGCTGGAGCTAACATGCCAGGAATTGTCCTAGTTTTTACCTCCGAGTTTGGTTTTCTTCTTTCTTAAAATAGACACTGCCAAAGCAGAAGTTTTGTCAGGGGATGAAGCGAGATTCCCTGCCTTGAAATTATTTGCGTGTGCCTGGGAGCAGGCTGGGCCTGGGCACCCCTCCGTGTCGGGGGGCTGCCCTGCTCCCCGCAGCCCCCCATGGATGGGGACGGCAGCACCGCGGAGGTGGTGCCCTCAGCACCAAGCTGTCGGGTGCCACAGCCCACGGGTGTTTCCAGGGCTCGTCACTGGGGTTTGCCCTGGGAGCTGCCCCCGGGGAGGCTTGGAAGCAAAACAGGGTTCAAGGCAGAGGCTGGGGGGAAGAGCAGGCAGACCCTGCAGAGCTCCCCGTGCAGGCAGCGGTGGGGACAGTGCTGGGGCAGGAGGGGCTGGGCTTGTGCTCGCTGAGTGGAGCTGGAGGGGAGGGGGGGGATGTTTTTCAGGCTGCCAGCCCCCCAAGTTTCTGCAATGTTTCTGGAAATTTTGCCAACAGTAAAAAAAAAAAAAAAAAAAAAGAAAAAAAGAAAGAAAAAACACAACAAGAAATTTCCTCTCGTGCTGTACAAACCCAAGTGCTGGCAGAAAATCTCTCCTCCCAGTTCTTGCCTGATACCAAACCAGCAGTGCCCGCTCAGGCTGGTGCTGTCAGGCTTCAGAGCCCCCGCCGAAGGGGAGCACCTCCCTCGCCACAGCCACGCTTCCTCGTCGCACAACCCCATCTCTGGGTGTATCTCGTTGGGGTTCATGCGCCTGTCACTGTGTACGCCCCACTTCCCCTGTGCTCCAGCATCCTTGGGTCCCAGCCCTCAGGCTGGGCGAGCGCAGGAGGAATGTGACGCCTCACCAGGGCGTTCGGGCTGGGTCTCCTGTCTAATTTTGGCTCCATAAAGAATATCAGGTCAATTCTTCATTTTCATGGAGCTCTTTATGGAGCCGGGAACAGCTGGTGCTGGGTGAGGCTGGGTATCACGCGCTCCGGCTATGGACGGTGCGACACCCCTCAGCCCTGCTGCTGGGAAGTTTGATTTTTTTTTTTTCCCCTGTGGTTTTGAAGGGAGATGCACCCCTCCTGCCCCCCTGCGCTCTGCCTGCCCCGGAGCCGCTGCCCTGTATCGGGAGAGGCCAGTTAACCTTTGCCTGGAGCTCAGCTCGGCTCCCAGGGAGGGCACCAAGCACAGAAGGCCTCCTGAGTGCCAGTGTGCTGTATTTATGTACCTGACAGTGGCATGCATGGCATGTCCTGCAATAAACATTTGCCCTGATTAGCTGGATTAGTGAGGGAGAGCTTTATTTAGGGACCTCAGTCCCACACTGGGATCAGAGTATTCCTGACTCGATTTCTGAAAATACCACTGTTGTGCTTTTTATTTTCTTTTATGGTAGCTCGGAGTGGGAGCCTGCCAGTTCCCTCTCTTCCCAGCCAGAGTAAGTAGTGCTTGAGGTCTGGAAGTGTCTATTTTGAGTAGGTGCATCCTTCGTGTCCTGCCTCTGCCAGGTTTCCCCTGCAGCTGGAGAGCGGTCAGACAGTGGAGTGCACAGTGGCTCAGTACTTTAAGCAGAAATACAACCTGCAGCTGAAATACCCCCACCTACCCTGTCTCCAGGTTGGCCAGGAGCAGAAGCACACGTACCTGCCCTTGGAGGTGAGTGCTGGCTCTGCACCGTTGGGCGCCCCGGCTTTTGGGCACCGTGCAAAGCAAAGCCAAGTAGCCTTTGCTAGCAAATGCATGACGATATTCTGCAGCTAATGTGTTGTGGGCACTAGTTGCCTCAATGTTGACCTGACAAGAGCCGTTTCTAGTAAGTGAGGGAGGAGACCATGCTGTAAAAAATGCCATTTTTCTGCAGCTGCAGGCTCGGCACCTCTGGTTTGGGGCTGGCTGCAGGGCCCCAGTGCCGTGGTCCCCCATGTCTTGCCTGTCCCTAACGCGTGGCTGCTGTCTCTCCCCTGCCGTGCAGGTTTGCAACATCGTGGCAGGCCAGCGGTGCATCAAGAAGCTCACAGACAATCAAACGTCAACCATGATAAAAGCAACAGCCAGGTCTGCCCCAGACAGGCAGGAGGAAATTAGTCGCCTGGTACGTGGCACAAGTCCCTGGGAGGGACGGTGTCGGGGCCGGGGCTCTGATGGCAGGCTACGGTGTCGTGTCCCTGATGAACCTTGTTGCGATCCTGCTCCTCAGCTGCTCTGCACTGGAGAGTTGCGACCTGCTCAGAAGATGCTGGTGGGGTTAATGGCTTGGTTTTATCCCCCTCTTCTCACTGAATCCCTGGTCAGAGATGCCTGCATGTGTGTAATGGACACCTGCATAGAGCAGCCCAGCTCAAAGTGACCGTGGAAACTCGCGTGCAGCAAATTCAGGTCCTCGCGCTGATGGAACCTGACCCAAAGGGAGCTGGAACTAAAAATAGGAGAACAAATTAGAGAAATGACCCCGGCTCTGGGTGTACGTGGGGACTGTGCGTTGTGGGGCTGCAGCACGGGAACTCTGCCTGCAGGTCAGCCTGGGGCAAGCCAGGGGAACGGCAAACCCGGCTCTGCCAGCGGCCGGGCAGGAGCTGGTTATTGGTGTTGTTGTTACCCAAATCGATGTCTCTGGGCTTTCGAAGCTGATGTTCCTTCTGGGATTCTTGATAAGTCTCTTGCCAGTCTGAAACTTCCCGATGAAGCCTTAAATCTCAGGAGCAGGCTCTGCTCTCGGTTGCATTGGTCAGTGCATTCAAAAATCAGGTCCCCCGTGGGTCAGTTTGGAGGACAGGGTTTGGCCCTTTGTGTTAAACCGCTGCCCTCCCCCTGCAGAGAGGACTTCAGCTCTGTAGAGAACACGACTTTAGGTGCCCGTGTTTCCTGGCCAGCTGAAGCTGCGTGGGATGCAGCAGTTGGTCTTGCTCCCTCCCATGGCCCTTCCTTCCCTCTGCAGATGAAGAATGCCAGCTACAACCTGGATCCATACATTCAGGAGTTTGGGATCAAGGTGAAAGATGACATGACGGAGGTGACGGGGAGGGTCCTGCCGGCGCCCATCCTGCAGTACGGAGGCAGGGTAAGCAGGGCTGCACTGCCCAGGTGTTGGGCTGCGTTGTGCAGAGAGATGCTTTCACACCAGAAAACGCTGTTTCTGAACAAAACTTGTGCTACCTTCGGGTTTGTAGGTTAGAGCTGGAATTTTTTTATCAGAGCACCTTGGGTTTGGGTTTTTTGTTTTTTTTGCAATATAGCTGTTCTGAAAGTGTAGCCAAGAGTCATTCGGTGACAAAAAATGAGCTGAAGGGGAGAGGGATGCTCAGGGTGAGGCAGCTCGGGTGAATTTTCCATCGCCTTTGAGGAGCTGAGATTCTGAACTGCCCATCGCCACGCGCCGCGGCAGACCCTGGCAGTGCAGGGAGTCGGCTCCAGCGAGGGTGTACGGCTTTGTGATGGGAAGCACAACCACGGCACGTGCGGGTGCTCCCCAGGGGCTGCCGGCGCGGGGCCGGGTCGGCCCCAGCGAGGGTGTACGGCTTTGTGATGGGAAGCACAACCACGGCACGTGCGGTGCTCCCCAGGGGCTGCCGGCGCGGGGCCGCCCGGGGCGGGGCAGCGGTCTCTGACCGTCTGTTTGCCTTGCAGAACCGGGCCATTGCAACTCCCAACCAAGGCGTGTGGGACATGCGAGGGAAGCAGTTCTACAACGGCATTGAGATCAAAGTCTGGGCGATTGCCTGCTTTGCCCCGCAGAAGCAGTGTCGAGAGGAGGTGCTGAAGTAAGGAAAGGGGCAGCCCGTGCGGGTGGGATGACGTGGGGGAGCCGTGGCTCGTGGTGCGGCCGCCCTGCTGCTCCCAGCCTGGGTCTGCGCATCCTTCATCGTTAACACTGGGTCTGAATCGCTCGTGGTACAAATTTGATCCGGGTTCAGACTGGGTGTTCAGTCTTGTTTCTGTTAGTTTATCCAGAGTGCCTGACTGTTTATCCTGGCTGCGAACAGTCCTTGAGCCATCGCGAAGCCTGCCAGGTTGGAGTGAGCGCATCGGCACTCCAGCACATGTGAGCTGACAGTCAGGCTCTCCTCGGTCTGCTCTTTGCATCAGGTAGCTGCGGTATTGTGATCTGATACTGCCAGCCCTAAAGCTGTATCGAACTCTTCTCAGCTGAATCTCCTCAGAGAGATGGGGTTGTGAGGGATATTTAATTAAAAGTTTCCCCAATACCCTTTCTGAAATAATATAATTCACGTAGGAAGCATCCTAACTCGCCACGGGTTTTTATTACAGAGAAGTCTTAGGCTTTCTGAAAAGCTTTGGTAGCTTAGATACTCTCTGCTTCGGTAGCCAAGTGACACAGAGCGGGGACAGTTTATCTGATTTAGGGAAATGGTCACCTTGGTTTTGGATTCTGCTGGGGACTCGTTCAGGTTTCTCCTGACTGAGAGCAGATGCATCAAGGCGAGCATTTTGTGTGCCTCTTCTGGGTGTTTGGCACGGTTAACGTTTGGGGTGGTTTGGAGCAGCTCTAAGTCTCTACGTCTGCAGTAACTGGGTGGAGGTGGGAGTGACACCACACTCCTCTTGTAACCCCTTTGGGGCAGAGCTGGGAGCCCCACACTCCCTCTGGCTCTCCCTGCATCAAATTTATCCTTGGCAATCCAAAAATCCAGAGTGTGGCTGAGCACTTTGTCCGGTTTGGTAAGTGAAGGCTCGCATCACCTTTGCAAATCATCTGGAAATCGAGCAGGTCTGCTCCCCCCTTCTCCAGCTTTCTAAGGGAGAACGGCTCACAGCTCCGTCACTCTTCAGGAAGAGTCAGTACCTGGGTAAGAGGGTACCAAGAGGGGATGGTTCAGCTCTAACACGTGTTGGTCTTGCGTTTCCCGTGCCGCACGCTTGCTGGATGCTGTAAAACCACAGACGTGGTGATGTGATGTCCTCGTCTCTGTTCTGTGCCGCAGCACTCCAGCCGTGGGTCCCTTCTCGCTCGGTGGCCGGGGTGCGCGGCAGAGCTGCCATGCGGAGGGGCTCAGGGCTGAATGCTTCTCCTCCCGGGCACAGGAACTTTACACCAGCTGCGCGCTGCCATGCGGAGGGGCTCAGGGCTGAATGCTTCTCCTCCCGGGCACAGGAACTTTACAGACCAGCTGCGCAAGATCTCCAAAGATGCAGGGATGCCGATCCAAGGCCAGCCCTGTTTCTGTAAATACGCCCAGGGTGCAGACAGTGTGGAGCCCATGTTTCGACACCTCAAGAACACCTATTCGGGGCTTCAGCTCATCATTGTCATCCTGCCAGGGAAAACACCGGTGTATGGTGCGTCTGGGGCAGGGGCGAGCGGGGAGAGGAGAGGGGCTTTGCTCTCGGGTCAGCAGGGCTGGCTCTGCTCCTCCTGCGGTGATTTCTCTCCCCATTTCCGAGGATGCTGCTGGAAGCGGTGCGTTGCTGTCTGTTCACTTGCTTCCTCTGCCCGCAGCCGAGGTGAAGCGCGTTGGGGACACCCTCCTGGGAATGGCCACGCAGTGCGTCCAGGTCAAGAACGTGGTGAAAACCTCCCCGCAGACCCTTTCCAACCTCTGCCTCAAGATCAACGTCAAGCTTGGCGGGATCAACAACATCCTTGTGCCTCACCAGCGGTTCGTACGGCTGCTGCCTCTTGCGTTTTTGGGGCTTGTTTCCCAGGTCCCTTGTGGTGCTGCCTGCCTGGCTTTACCTGGGGTAGAGGGGGCCTGTGGGCGGCTGCGTAAAGTAACTGTTTGAAATGGGGGTTTGCAGCCTGTCTCGCCTTGTAATGAGCTGTTGATGTGCCCAGGCCAGAGCCCAGAGGTCGGGAGACGTCCTCTCTGTGATCTGCTCGCCTCCATTGGGCTGTGCATCACCCTGAGATGGCCCCAAAAGGCTGACTGCCGCTTTCTCTTCTCTCACACCAGCTCTGCGGTCTTTCAGCAGCCGGTGATCTTCCTCGGGGCCGATGTCACTCACCCGCCGGCAGGAGATGGGAAGAAACCCTCCATAACAGCTGTAAGTTCCCTGTCCAGGGCCAGGCTTGATGCCCAAGAGCCCTGCAGGGATGCAGGAGCTGGAACGGGACTCGTGTGTCTGTAAAGGGGCTGTGTCACTACTGTCCCCATAGTGACACTTCTCAGGGTGGCCCCATGCCCTATCGGGTGTTTCAGTCCCACTCCCGGGGTGGTGGGTCCCCAATCCCCTCCTGCCTCTCCGCAGAGGAGCTGCGGTTTTGGGGAGCCACTGGGAGGGCTGGCAGGGGCCAGGAGAGCTGGCAGCTGCCAGCAGGTGGGGCTCGTGATGTGCCGGACCCCATGAGCACTGTCGGACAGGGTGTGCAGGGAGCTCGGTGTGGCCACTGTGCTCGCCGGAGTCATCCCTGGGCATCCCGGTCCTGCAGTGCAGCCCTAGGATGGACCTTCCCCAGGCGGGAGAGCTGGGGAGAACTGGGGTGACGGGGCTGCTTCAGAGCCTTTTGGGGAGGAGGACCTTCACCCCAAATGAATAATGAGCATCCATCGAGTGAATGGATGATGGATGAATCCATGCCGCTCGCATGCCGGTGAGGCTGGGTGGCAGCTCGTGCCCTTCGTGGGGCTCTAAGACGTTGCCTTGTGCTCGTTGAGGCGAAGGACAGTGTCAGGTTCTCGTAGCGTCTGTTTTAATTAAGCACGTCAGCATTTTCCTACTAAGTTCTTAACTTTCCAGGGCTCATAGCTCAGGTTTTCCTTGGCATGCAAATGCATCTTTGGAGGAGTGTTTTTTTCTTAATTAGAAGAGGTTGGGAAATGCTTTTGGCTGTTTGCTGTAGGTGTGGGTGGGACAGAACAGTCTGTTTCCTGGCGGCAGCGCTTCCACTCCGAAAACATTTTCTGTGGTTTTTTGTACAGGACCACTGTGGGGTGGTTTTTTTTCTTGATTTTTATAAAAGCTTTTTTGAAGCTGCAGGGGAGGAGAAGGGTAGAGCCTTCAGATGGCCTTGATCTTGTCCTTGGTCCGTTGTTAATTAGACAATAGAAGGGGGTCTGTGGCTGAGGCCAAAGGAAACATTTCTGTTGCACACATCAGCTCCGCTGGTGCAGCCCAGACCCTAGAGCTCCGTTTGCGAAGCAGAAGTGAAACCGGCACAGAGAGCAGGGGCAGCAGGCTCAGCGCTGCTGAGGATGTGGAGTCTGTGGTGCTTTCCCTCCGCTCGGGGGGCTGTGGACCACACGGTGCAGCAAAGCAGCCGGGCATTTGTCTCCCAGCGTGGGCCAGTACCTGCTTTGACGCCCATGACTCACGCCGCGCCCCCAGCCCTGTGTCACGGCCGAGCCCGGCTGCTCTTGGCCTCTTTGCCCTGACGTCTTTGAGGTCTCCCCTCCAGAGCGCCCGGCTGCAATGGGAACTCCCTGCTCGACAGCTGCCACGCAGTGACTCAACCCTGCCGTGTCCTCGGGAGGCGGCAGCGCCGGCGGGGCAGACCGTGGATGTCTGGGGCAGCTCTGCTGCCTGTGGCTGAGTGAGGGCAGGCGCAGGAACGTGATGCCGGCAGATGCTCTGCGCAAACGTTGACCTGGTTCAGTCGCCTTTTGGGCAGAGGGTCTCTGGGCAGCCCGGGGCGGGCAGGGCAGTTGTGCCGCGGTCGGAGGGGTAAGGACCGGCCGATAACAGAGCTCCCTGGTGTTGCTGTGATACAGACCTCAGCAGCAGCTGTTACAGCAGTGGCTTTGCAACTGCAGGTGGGGTTTTGTACCCTGGGGGTGTCATTGCCCTGGTGAGACAGCAGAGCAGAGTTTGGGGTCACAGTCCTTTGTGGAAGCCAAAAACCTCTGGAGTGAGGGATGGAGGGAGAAGGGCTTAGGCAGGCAGAAAGGGCAGCCCTGCTCCCCCCTTGCCCCTCTGCTTTTGGGCAGGAGGGGTGAAGCTGGAGCAGAGCAGCAACAGCCCACACAGCCACGTCGCTCAGTGTGGTACCACCCAAGTTGTCTCACTGGAAATTCCCATAAACACCACAAAGGGCATGGCAGAGCATGAAACCGGGACGTGGCCACGACCAGGGATGTCCATTTTGGGCACTAGTTGCCTGCACAGTATTTGCTGTCCCATCTCCTGATCTGTGAGCTCAGGTGCTCTGCCCACTGCCAGCTGTGGGTGTTGGAAGCAGGCAGAGGTTGGGAATGTCCCACGTCCTTTCCGTCCTTCCCATTGTAACGCATGGGCCTGGCCTGTCTCTGTCGCTGCAGGTTGTGGGCAGCATGGACGCCCACCCCAGCCGGTACTGTGCCACGGTGCGCGTGCAGCGTCCTCGCCAGGAAATCATCGAGGACTTGTCCTACATGGTGAGGGAGCTCCTCATCCAGTTCTACAAATCCACCCGCTTCAAACCCACCAGGATCATCTTCTACCGTGACGGCGTTCCCGAGGGGCAGCTCCCGCAGGTGAGGACCCCTCGGATGCCCATCGGCCAGCGGGGCTGCACTGGCTCCCGCAGGGTTCCTTAAGGGTGCACGGGGACGGCTGGGGGACGGCTGAGTGCCGGCGTGTCCCCTCACTCTGCGTGCGCTTGTCGCTCCAGATCCTTCACTATGAGCTCCTAGCGATCCGAGACGCCTGCATCAAACTGGAAAAGGATTACCAGCCTGGCATCACCTACATCGTCGTCCAGAAAAGGCATCACACTCGTCTCTTCTGTGCAGACAAGAACGAGAGGGTAAGCGCCGTGGGGTGCCGGGGCCGGAGGCGCCTGATTCATCCCCAGCCTTTAGGAAGAGCCAGCCCTGACTTTGCCGAGGGGAAAGCTCACCGCTGGCAGGCAGAGAGCTCTTTCTTGAATGAAACGTGCTGCTTGGTTGACTCCCGCAGCCATGCGGATTAGGCTGCTTCTAGAAACCCAGACAGCTGTTTGCTGTTATTATGAGTTACTGGGTGCTGATGATCCTGGTGACTCTCTTGAAATAGCCTCTGTCAGCTTGAAAACATCTGTTGTTTTGGTGATAGCTGTAGCCGCTGACGTGACAGGATGAATAACCCCTTGCTTGCTCAGAGCTTGTTCATGTTTGCTCTGCAGGAACATTGATTGTTGTAGCTTTTCCTAGATTTGATCTAAATTTAGTGGTTAGATCTAGTCTAACCAGACTGGCTCTACCTAAGCATGAAGATTTAATCTTGGGAGCTGAGGACAGTTTTTGATCAGGGTGCAAAAGCCCCAGTATCTTGTGGCAGAGACTCTAGCTTACACTCTCCACAGAGATCCCTGGAGTTTTGCTCGCTTAATTCTCACTTCTGCTGTAGGATGGGCCAGTGCCCAGCCCTCACCCTGCCTGCTTTCCTTCTGATGCCGATTGCTCTACCTCCATGTCATGCCTGGTGTTGATGCTAGCAGAAAATGCCAGCAAGCCTGTTCGGGCAGGGAGCAGAGTGGGATGAGCTGCTTCTGTCCCCCCTTAGTGGGCACTTGGGGAGCGGCTCTGCACGGTGCTCTCAAACTACGATGCTGAGATGGGGGCCCTGCGCCATGGCCCTGGTGCAGGGCAGGTGTGTTACAGACGGTGCTCTGGGCAGCTGGAAATAACCAAACTCTGCAGTGCTTGGGTCTCTCTTTCTATTCCCTGTAGATTGGGAAGAGCGGGAACATCCCAGCAGGAACAACAGTGGATACAAATATCACCCACCCCTTTGAGTTTGACTTCTACCTGTGCAGTCATGCAGGCATTCAGGTACCGCGCTGCAGAGCTGGCTGTTGTGATGCTGCTGGTTTTCTTCGGCTGTTGTTGCAGATTGCACTCTCATGCATCTGACCCGGCCCTGTCATAGCCTCCCCCTCCGGCACCGGGGACGTGGGCAGCTCAGTCCAAGCTGCCGTTGCGGTGGTTTGGCGAGCAGGTGCTGTGACGGCACTGCTGCTGCGTTATGCAGCACGTACCCGATTTCTCTCCTGGAGCCAAGGATCTCTCCCATGAGATTTTCCTCCTCTAGACTGGCCAATTCAGCAGCTTATCAGCTGGTGTCTGAGTGTGCCGGGCTCGCTGGGGTGCCTGGTCATCAGCAGGGACCTGTTGTCTGGCTGTGGGCGGGAGAGCTGGGGGCAGCCGTTCCTGGAGTAGGCGGCTTGATTTGCAGCTGCCTTTCTTCAGGCAGCCAAGATTAGTCAGAAACGGCACTGAAAAAATTGCACTCATTTAATCTACAGCTGCTTCCGCAAGGGAGGTTTTTTGGCTTCTTCTCCCCCTGCAAGGACAGCGGGGAGCTGGCCCGGTTCGGTGGGGAGCCGGTGCAATACACGATGCAGTGGGCTGTGCGGCGTCGGGAGCTGGGAGCAGCAGCGCAGAAGCACCGCAGTGCCTGGGCACAGGGCAGCTGCGTTAATGGTTTGCACCTCCGTGCTAAGGGCTTTCTTGCCTTGCGGTGCCTGTGCGCATGTGGGGTTCTCAAATTAGGGAAGCACGGGCATCTCTCCTGCCCAGGCTGTCTGCCAGGTCGTTTTGATCAGGGAGGGGGTGATGAGGATGCAAGGCAGCTGCCTGCGTCTGGGTGCCGGCAGCACCTCTCACACTGCCCCCTCTCCTTCCCAGGGTACGAGCCGGCCATCCCACTACTACGTACTCTGGGATGACAACCGGTTCACCGCGGATGAGCTGCAGATCCTCACGTACCAGCTGTGCCATACCTACGTGCGCTGCACCCGCTCGGTCTCCATCCCGGCCCCGGCGTACTACGCCCGACTGGTGGCGTTCAGAGCACGGTACCATCTTGTGGACAAGGAGCACGACAGGTGAGGGGGCTCTGCCCGCGGCCCCGGGAGGGCAGGCCCCAGGGATGGGCAGGGGGCATGAGCACCCTGCCTTGGTGTTTGAAAGTGCCTCTGTCAGAGCAGCGCTGCAGCAGACCCTTTTGGGGGGAGATCCACACGTAGCTGCACCCTCTTAGGTCCCAGCCGAGGAGGAGCTGGGGGTAAAGGAGGGTTAAATCCCATCCCGAGCTCATCCCGGGCCTGGAGGAGCATCCCTGGGGTGTTTGAGCGTTACCAGCCACCTCAAGGTGCCGGAATCTCTGCAGTGCCAGGCACGGTCACCAGCACACGCAGCATCCCCGTGCGTTGCGGTGAGATGCCTTGCTGTGCTGCCAGTGCTCACGGACCCTGATCTCCAAGGGGGTTTCTCAGTGTTCCTGGGGGGGAAATACAAAATAATTATGCAACGATTTCCTTGATTTTCAGTGGCGAGGGCAGCCATATATCTGGACAGAGCAACGGCAGAGACCCCCAGGCCTTGGCGAAGGCTGTGCAGGTTCATCAGGACACTTTACGTACCATGTACTTTGCTTGAAAGCCTAACTTTTGTTACCTCACTCAAGAAAGCTTTCAGATTTGTAGGAGCCATACAAAAAAGGAAGCATTGGGACACCTTGTTTTTTTTCCAATGAGAAATCACTGCAGGGCAGGCAGCGTCGATTCGAGGCAGGAGACCAGCACCACGGGACAGAAAGATCCAACACCTTTGTAGGATTGGAAGAGACTGATGATTATTTTTTTAATTTTTCTGGCTTTGCAAAATTTTGATCTGACCAAACACATGAAGGCATTCAAGGAAGGGATAAAAATCCCAGGAGGCGGAAGCAGATTTTCATTTTTAAGATGCAATACTATAGACTCCTGACTGTGAAATGGCGGATTTGGTCCTCCGTTGCCCACCAGGCGCTGGTAGGTATTTTTTGTGGGGGTTGGGGGGAGGGGATTTTTAGAGCCTTAAAACAGAAGACTAGATTTATAAAACTAATATTTTAGAATATGAGATGCTTTAATGGGTTAAGGGGAAAAACAACTAGTTTATAGGAGAATTCTAACACTAACAGTTCCCCACCCCTGAATAATTCCCCCCCATATAATGTAAGGCACCCTAGCACTTAGCTCAGAACTGAAAACTGTCTTCCTTGTGTTACAAGCTAGTTAGCTGCTGCCATTTGAAGCAACAGTCACAGACTTTTCCATGGGTGAGTGCCTTACTATGATGCTGCAAAATTTCAATGTTTTTAATCTTGTAAGGAAAATAGTAATCTTGTCTTGATGGTGGTCCATATTTCCATCGGAAGGAGTTAATTTCTATGGTCCTAAGTTGCAGTTTGTGTTAGATCACGACCTCATGGTGGTTAAACTCCATTGAAAGATGTGCACTTTCATATAGGACATGTTTAATGGCTGCTGACCCATTTTTGTTTCCAGTGTACTACTTGTTATTTAAAACTGTTTCTGACAAATGGGGGCATCTTCATCCCATGAGGACAGAAATCGCTATCGATTTTTTTTTCTTTTTTTTTTAAGATGCAATACTATAGACTCCTGACTGTGAAATGGCGGATTTGGTCCTCCGTTGCCCACCAGGCGCTGGTAGGTATTTTTTGTGGGGGTTGGGGGGAGGGGATTTTTAGAGCCTTAAAACAGAAGACTAGATTTATAAAACTAATATTTTAGAATATGAGATGCTTTAATGGGTTAAGGGGAAAAACAACTAGTTTATAGGAGAATTCTAACACTAACAGTTCCCCACCCCTGAATAATTCCCCCCCATATAATGTAAGGCACCCTAGCACTTAGCTCAGAACTGAAAACTGTCTTCCTTGTGTTACAAGCTAGTTAGCTGCTGCCATTTGAAGCAACAGTCACAGACTTTTCCATGGGTGAGTGCCTTACTATGATGCTGCAAAATTTCAATGTTTTTAATCTTGTAAGGAAAATAGTAATCTTGTCTTGATGGTGGTCCATATTTCCATCGGAAGGAGTTAATTTCTATGGTCCTAAGTTGCAGTTTGTGTTAGATCACGACCTCATGGTGGTTAAACTCCATTGAAAGATGTGCACTTTCATATAGGACATGTTTAATGGCTGCTGACCCATTTTTGTTTCCAGTGTACTACTTGTTATTTAAAACTGTTTCTGACAAATGGGGGCATCTTCATCCCATGAGGACAGAAATCGCTATCGATTTTTTTTTCTCTTTTTTTTTTTTTTTCCTGAATTTTTATGATGGACACCGGGATTTTTTTACTAAACATTATTTTTATATGATACTGAGTCTGTTGCCAAAATACACAAGTCATTAACGTTCTCAGAGTTTACATCACCGCACTTCCTGAGGCTGTGCGCTCACGCCAGAGTTTTCTAACGTTTCCTGTCCGATGAGTGTTACCAACTGCAGTCCGTGCAGTGCCGGGTACTCCTCAGCGCCCGTCTCCCGTGTGCGTTCGGCACACGTCTGCCCGGGTCGGCTGCTTTCTGAAGTACCGCGTACCCCAACTCCAGCACCTCCAAACTGTCACCCTCTCTGCTGCTAGGTTTTGCTGCTCTTTGTGTCATGGTATCACTGATCTCATGCACAGGGTTTTTTTTTGTTCTGAAAGCACACCAGATTTGTTCCTTAGTCAGAATGACGAAATCCTTGTTATTGTCATGGGGGAAACTCCTACTGATTTGTGTTTGTAACAGGAGAAAAGCCTTTTTCCCAACAGTAACATAGCGACTGCTTTTCAGACTCATTTTGCTGCACAGAGTGACCGTTATGCACAGCGGGGCAGTAGTAGCAACTCATTACCAGTATCGTGGGCAGATTATCTGGGTTGGTTTTTTTTTTTTTATATGAAAGTGTGCACAGCGCTTCCTTCAAGAGAAAAAATGACGCGCACACTCCTACCAAACTCTTAAAGGGAAGAGCTCTGTCGTCATTTTACTGCCAAATGTCAACGCATTTCCAAGGCCGATCCACCACAAGCACTGCCCCTTGTCAGTTTGCGTGGATAGAAGCACACCTTTTTGTTTTGTACTTTCTGACGTTTAAACTTGCCTTGCCTTCATGAAAACCACATTGGTCGTGTTGGCCCATTGATCTGTCCTAACACCGGGAATTCACTCTACCCGTTTTCTTTTTGGGCAACGTGTTTGTGAAAAATGAAGACATCAATATGCTATGCAAACTAAGTGCTGAGCCCACTGATGTCACATTTTGTGAAGATCCTACGTTTAGCACAGTTCTATTTTTCCTCAAGACTACAGTATTTGGTTCATATTCTCCTTTGCACCTTGTGTCAACCTCCACTGCTGTATATCTGCAAGGTGTCGGGGAGGAGACCAGGAACTCTTCATGGTCAGTAGGGTAGTGGACTCTTCAGGAAGGCTTTTAGAGAGTAGGGAATGCATCAACACTAAGTCTCAACATGAGAAGCCTACATTCCTATACACAAGTGCCTGCATAGTGACATAAATTCAGCACCTCTCCATCTCATCCTCAGAACTCTAGCTTGTGTTCATTGAAAGCAAAATGATCTCAGAGGGGCTGTACCCGCTCACCTTGTGTTAGAAAGCCCCTCATTAGGAATAAAATCGGGGTTAAGGTCAAGGTTCTCTCTGCAAATCAGTTTGTTCACCAGCATTACAACGGAAAGCACCTGGCTGCTGTTCTGCAGCGAGGGGCAAAGGTATTTTGGTTTCTAGTTTTTATTTTAGTGTTTTAGTTGGGTCTAGAATTCTGAAATGTCTTTTAGTAGCTGTGGCATAGCACGTGCCATTTTTAACCATTTGAAAAGAGATAGTGTGGGCATTTACGGAAACAGCTTGTTGCTCTGTAACAATTTTTTTTTAACCTTGAGACTTGAAATGTAAAATGGACCTTTAAGATTTGCACTCATTTGTAAGGTGGCTGTTCATAGAAAACTATGAATGAAGACTTGCTGATGTAGCACCTACTTTTAACAGCAATTTTAACTACACAAAAGCTTCACAGCTTCTGAAACTCTCAGCTGTTGACTTGCAGATCGTGTTCTGCCCTTATTTCACCCTCTGCGTTGGGTTTTCATGGTTTTGAATAAATAAAAAAGCCAAACTCGGTAGCTGCTGTGCCCTTTAAACCCTATTTCCATTTTGAAGACATTTAGAAGGGGTTTGAGTTACCCGCATGTTTTATATAATGGACTATGCACCGTACCTTCTATGCGGCTCCAGCATTCAGCATTTCTACCCTTTTCTTGTCTGAGATGCAAACGAATAACTGCATGTTGAGGTGCTGTGCATTTTGCTACCCATAGCGGATAGGTGTTAACCCAGATACATATCAGGATTTGTAGTTAGCCACAAACCCCACACGGACATCCCGAATGGCTCCCGAGTCTCTGCCTTCTCCACGCGCACGTGTTCCTTCTGCAACTGGAAGCATCGCCAGGTGCATGCAGTTTTGTGGGAAGAGGAGTAACTTCCATTTACCTGTCAGTTGTTGAATGCTGTTTGTTTCCCTTATCTCATATCCGAACATAACGGGGGCGAGAGGGCAGAGCAGCCCTCTCCCCAGAGCTTCCAGGGGCGGTCGGGGTGTTCTGGTATTCGCAAGCGTACAACCTGATGTCTTGGCGTCAAAAAGCCCAAGCATTCAACGTTGCCTCGCGGAAGGTTTTCTTCTTGGAAAATGAGTGTGAAATAAAAGAATGTGATTCTTTCAGGAAGGGAAGCCAGACAGCAGGACAGCAATAAACCAGTGAAATTCGTATCTTGCCTGAGTGATTTGCACTTCAATAGTTGTGAAAGAAAATTTACGGGACTCCAGTGCTTTTGTGTTCAATTTCTAGCCCCTTTCGTACCTCCTTTATATGAGCAAGTGTTGAACTGTACATAGGGTGTTTACAAGACACTCTGTTTGGGTTGTTATTTTTCTTGTGGGTTTTTTTTTTTGCTTTAGCTTGAACTCTGTATGGTCCATTTGTCAAATAGACGTGAACAGTTGATGTACAGTACTTACTAAACAAGCAGCAGCACAAAACTTATTTTATTAAGAAAATATGGCTTATATTTTAAAGGTTGAATATCAATTTTTTTTTTGTATGCGTGGAATTGACTGGTAAAGAGTAACAAAATCCTTGGATTAGGCCAAAAGAAAATACTGTAAGATCATAACCACCTCTGTATTAAAGAAAACGGTATGATTAAAGAGCTCCAGAACATTGTATTTATATTTGATTTGATTTGATTGCCTTTGTGGATTTTTTTTTTTTTTTTGCCTTGGTCCTGATTTTTGCTTGCAACTTTGACTTTGCAGTCCCAAGTGTCTGTTACCCTGTAACTGTTGGCAGAAGACCTAAATAAAAGCAATGTGAATATGTTGGGGTGACACTCCTGAGTCAGATTGCGTGGGGAAGGTACATGCGCAGTCCTGGCCGTTCACTCGAGAAGGGCTTGGGGACAACCAGTGAAATGCTGACTGTAGCTGAATTGCATCAGATACTGTGGAGGATCCAAAACCCCTCACTTTCCAGATTTCAGTTTAATGAGAGAAACACTTAAGCGAACAAATATGTGCTTAAAACTTCTTGGAATATGGTAGCCAATTCCACTTTTTATTACAACATCATCCGTCTGAGAACTGACTTCATTTGAGCTCCTTGGGTTGTTAGATACCAGAAGCATACATCAAAATACACTGCTTCTCCAGCTACCTTCTGTGTTTTGGGGGCTATAAAAGGCCGCTGGCTCCACGGTGCTTTAAGGACAGATTTTGGACTCCTTTTGGATGGGAGTTAAACTTGATCCTCTGGGTTTCTGTACTGCATCATCTTATACGTTGCCCAGCTTGGGAATTCCGTGTGAACATCCTAGTCCTCTCCAACGCCAGCAGCTTATGGTTGTGTCTTAGGGTCCAACACTGGAGGTAGTTTGCCATCCTCCGAGTTCTTTGGATCTGCTTGTGCTTTACCTTGCAAACATGTATTGACATACCTTTAGACGATGAATTATTCAGCAGTTGAGCTGTAACTGTGGGTTTTTGAATAATGCTAAGCAATTTTA